CTTGCCTAAAAAGTCTTTGACTATCCAGAATTGATGAAGATGTTCTCCTATATTTTCTTCTAGAAATAACATGTATTTCTTTCTTTTGAGACAGAGTCTCACTCTGTAGCCCAGGCTGGAGTGCAGTGGCACGATCTCAGCTCACTGCAACCTGTTTCCCGGGTCCAAGCAATTCTCCTTTCTCAGCCTCCCAAGTAGCTGGGAATACAGGCACGTGCCACCATGCCCAGCTAATTTTTCTATGTTCAGTAGAGACAGGGTTTTGCCATGTTGCCCAGGCTGGTCTTGAACTCCTGACCTTAAGTGATCCTCCCACCTTAGCCTCTCAAAGTTCGGAGATTACACGCGTAAGTCACCACGCCTGGCCTAATTTTAGTTTTTATGTTTACATCTACAATGATCTCAAGTTAGCTTTTGTCTATGGGATAAGGTAGAGGTCTATATTCACAGTTTCAGTGTATTTATTCAGTTGTTCCAGCACCATTTTCTGCAAAGACTTCTATTTCTCTATCTTCTTGCCTTGGTTTTTGTTAAATTGATTGTTTATGGCTGGATCTATGTCTAGGCTCTCTATTCTGTTCCACTGATCTATATGTTCATTCTTGTGTCAATAACACATGCTCTGAATTACTGTACTTTTATTGTAAATCTTGTAGTAGTAAAAACCCTCCAGGTTTGTTTTCCTTTCTCTAGAATTATTTGTCTATGCTAGGTCTTTCACATTCTTATGTAAATATTATCATCAGCTGGTCATTTCATAAAAATAAATTTTGGAATTTTTATTGGTGTTGCAGAGAATATATACACCAATTTGAAGAACACTGGAATCCAAAGAGCATTGATCTTTTCTATTCACAAACATGGTATATACCAACCTTTATTTGCTTCTCAGTTTAATTCTCTCAAAAATGTTTTATAAATTTAAGTGAAGAGTTTTAGGATGTCTTCTGTTACATTTATAAGTGTTTTTACAAAAAAACAAAAGTTTAAGGAACCGTTTAGATTTTTTCAAGAATAATTTATAGATGACGTTCTATTTTTTCTACCCAAACATTATTTCTAGCTGTCTTTCTTTTTGTGATATTAGCAGCTGTTTTGAATTCTTTTGTCAACTTGGCAGCAACCACTACACTTTTCTAAAACTAGGAACTCTATATTCTAGAACCCTCTTCCCTAAATGAATCCTCAAAAAATTTGCAAATGAAGAAAATTCACACACAGTTCCAAAGATAAGAGTGAAGCCGAAGTCACTGTCAGCAATTTTTGGCAGCCAGGCACTGAGACTTTCAGAACCTTTAACACGGTTCTTCTCAGCAATTCTAGCATCCAGATGTAGCCCCATGATAGACCTCGCACGAGCGTGTACTTCATAATCCTGCTGAATACAGAAGTTGCCTGGACTCTTTCATGAGCTGCTGCCTTCCCGCCTATATCAATGTTGTCAGCTGATGCCATTTGTGATTGCGTTTCTGACTTTCTGAAGGAAACCTGCCAAACCTTCATTATTTTTGCTTACATGCACATGAATGTAGGCACTAATTCTTACATTAAAATGTTTATTTCTATAATACTTAATTGGCTGTTTTCCTGGCTGAACCAAAGAAAGAGCAGCAGGGATGATAACTTGCAAAACTGATTAAATTAGAGGTCAAGAAATGGAGCCATTTTAATTCTATTATTCTTCTTTCATATATTAAATATAAAACTTTTGTAGATAGTTTTTCTTCGTTATCTCTTTGGTTACCCTTAGGTCCTGCCTGTAGAGCAAAGGTAGAATATGTGATTATTTTCCTTTATTTACCATTTTCTATTTATCAGTTACTATTTTATTTACCAGTTTTCTAAGTAGTTTCCTACAATCCCAGAAGGCACTTGAAGAAATTAAAATTGATTGACTTTTTAAAAATTAATTTGGGGAATTATTCTCTTACCTCTTCTCAGTCTAATGAAATTTTTTCTGTAAGATATTGTACTTTTAAGTACTTGAATTTTTATTTTTAAAGTGTTATCACTGCTGAGATTTCACGTGTTTACTCAATATGATTATTATTTCAGTCCTTAAGCATATTTATAATATAGTAGTATCCCCTTATTTGTGGCTTCACTTTCCTCACTTTCAGTCACCCATAGTCAAAAAATATTAAATATAAAACTCCAGAAATAAACAGTTTATAAGTTTTAAGTCGTGCGTTGTTCTGAGGATTGTGATGCAATCTCCCGCCGTTTTGCTGTATTGGGTTCAGGATGTGAATATCCCTTTGCTCAGCAGATCCACACTTGCTGCCTCCTGCTCATTAGTCACTTGCAGCCATCTAAGTTATCAGATGGATTGTCTCGGTATTGCGGTGTTTGTGTTCAAGTAATGGCCCCAATATGCAAGAATAGTGATGCTCGCAATTCAGATATGCAAAAGAGAAACATGAAAATGCTTTCAGTAACTGAAAAGCCTAAAGTTTCCCACTTAATGAGGCAAAAAATGTGCTGAAGTTGCTTACATCTAGGGTAAGAATTAATCTTTTATTTGTAAAATTGTGGAAAAGGAAAAATAAATTCTTGCTAGTTTTGCTTTTGTACCTCAAACTGCAAAAGTTACAGCCACAGTGTGTGATAAATGCTAATTTCAATCAATATTCTGAGCCTAAATGTGTAGGTGAGTGCTGTCTCCATATTTGCACATGTGAAGTGCTCCTGAACCATAGCCCCATGTATCTCAAACACCATCACGCTCACAGAACAGAAAGGAAAGAGCAGTTTCATCAGCCAGCCCTCATAAGCCACTCCCTGGAGTCCTCCCCAACGTCTGCTAAATTTGGGAGGCCTGATTCCAGAGAGCTGCATGATGAACCGGCAACATAAACCCAGAAGAATCTTCATTGCAGACAAAGAAAAACTCCGGTTCCAGCGCAGACAGACAGCCCATACAAGCGCTTTTGATGTTAGCTGCGGTAAAGGGGGCAGGAAAGGCTCCCACTCTATGGTCTGTGGCATGGTCAGCTCAGTGCCTCCACCTCGGAGGGCTCCATCCCACCATGACCCTCCCAATCAAGCTGATGGTGCCTCCTTATGCCAAGTGGAAGGAACTGCAGTCAAATTCTGACACGTCCTGCAAATCCTCCCAGGCCCTGGGCTACTGATTAGGCCACCAGTAGGACTGTGGACCAACCGATTAAACCCATTAATAACTGGCAGCACAGCACGGCCTCCTTCTCAACAAATTATGATGCTGATCCCCGGATTCAGCCATCCATGTCCATGGTGTTTTGTCCTTAAGCTTTCAAAACGCCTACCCTGCTTTATGCTTTCTAGTTTTGAGGACTTGGCTTAAGCGTGCTTCTGAATTTCAGCTCCCTCTATTTGACAATTCTTTACACTGTTCTCCAGTTGGGACGCGGCGGGAGACACCATGGAGCCAACCTCTGCAGAAGGCAGGGCTTGGTAGAATGGAGAGACCCCAGCCAGGAGAAGGGTGCACTTCGGGCACCGAACTTCAGGGAAAGCGCTCTGGGTCAGGCGTCTCCTCCAGAATGCTCTGTTTAAAGTTAAAAAGGCCACCTTCAAAACAGTTGTAAAATCTATACATTCACCCAGACATACACATTTTTTGGGACATGGTCCTGCTCTGTCGCCCAGGCTGGAGTGCAGTGGTTCGGTCACAAGCAGTCGTCCTGCCTCAGCCTCCCGAAGAGCTGGGGCCACAGGCCTGCACCACCATGCCTGGCTAATTTGGTTCTTTTCTGTTTGTTTTCCTTCGTTTGTTTTGTAGGCATGGAGTCTGACTGTGTTGCCCAGGCTGGTCGCCAACCTCTGGCCTCAAGCAATCCTCCCTCCTCGCCAAGTACTGGGATCCAGTCGTGAGCCTCCAAGCCCTTCTCTATTCATTATTCTTAATTAAAACATTCAAAGGACGCGGTGTTTGAGGCCAGCGCGGCGTTTGCAGTGGCTGCTCCCGCCAGGACAGCTCAGGGGGATGCTCCCGAGAATCCTGAGCCCGCCTCCTGTCCCGGCCTGGTCTGGGGTCCCCAGACCCAGCCTCTGACGGGCCACCCCCAGCGCTGCCCTGCCCGCAGCTCCGGGCTGCGCTCCCCACGAAGAGGCGCCGCAACCGCCTAGGACATCGTGGGAAGCCTCCTGCGGGGACTTTCCACTGCTTGTCCCAGGAGCTTCTACAACAGACTGGCATTGAGAGTTCAGTTACATTTTCCGCTAGTTATTCCCATCCTGGCCCCCAAGCGTCTCAAGTCCCCGCCTCAGGCTCCTGGGGGCCTCCCCTGCAAGGGCGCCAGGTCCTCGACATCTGCCAGTGAATCCGCGTCCAAGGAGGAGGGCGTGGCGGGGGCGGAAGCGACAACCACACGACCCATGACAGTGGCCAAGCCTTAGAGGCCCCGAGTGCCTCTCAGGCGCCCGGGCCCAAGCTGTCCACGCTTCCCCGCCCCGGCAGGAACCAGCTGTTCCCGCTGCACCAGCCAGGGGGCTGGGGTCATCCCTGCCAGGTCCGAACGTAGGCGTGGGCTCCAGAGCCCCCTCCCAACCGCCCCGTCCCAGGAGCGCGGGAAGCCTGGCTATCGCCTGACAATAAGAAAATCATCATGGACAGAAGGAAAGCAGGGCGAGGCTGGGAAGGGAGCGGCTGTAATTCGGCGCCGGCCCCCTTCAATTCTCCAGCTCAGCGGCCCCCAAAGTGGGGTGGGGACGGTGATTGAGGCTGAGCTCGCTTCTTCCTTCTTACAGGTCTCGCGCCTCTGAAGCGAACTGGGCCTGGAAGGATGCTGAGGGTCGAGGGAATGGGGCTGAGGGTTGACCCAGGGAAAGGTGGGGCCGGCCCCTGGGCTCCGGTTGGAGGCGGATTCCCAGGCTGTGCAACTGCTCGCCCGTGCCCCACCCGCTCTGTGCTCTGTCAACCGAACAGCTCCGTCCTAGACTCGCGGCTGCGGAAGCGGCGGGCCGGGTGGTGATTACAACCTGGGGGAGGGGGCTCTCCTTTTGCAACCTGACCCCCAACTCCGCTCAATAACCGAATTTCCGGAAGCCGCGACCTGGAAGCTCTCGGCGCTTCTCCATCGCTGGCACGGCGGGGACGCCCGGAATCTCGGAGCCGCAGCTCCCGCCTGCAGCGCGCCTCAGCCGCCAGTGGGGAGCGCAGCGAAGCGGGGTCGCCCGCGCATCCGGAGCGAGGCAGGCAGGCTGGAGGCTGAGGACCGGCGACCTCGTGGGACGCCGGTGCCCGCCCCTACGGGGAGCAGAGGCAGCTCTGGAAGTCGGTTTAGGGCGGAGACCGCAACCGGAGGGGCGCAGAATACTCCCCCTCCCAGCGTTCCGGGCTACGCGGGTACAATTTTAAAACTAGCGGCGAAATCCGAGTCCTGCGGCCGCGTGGTGGGTGGAGCGTGACTGCCTAGCCGAGTGCTGTCTCAGGCTGCCCCCGCTTCTGCGCCGCAAGGCCGCCCTTGAGTTCCAGGACTCTGTGGGCCCCGAGCCGCTGGCGCTCCCGGGAGTCTCTTAGCCGCGGCAGGAACGGAGCTAGGCGCCCAGACTGCGCCGGGGTCTTTTCTCTGCCTCCAGTGGCCGGAGCCGCAGACCTGCCCCTTCCCCACCGGGGCCGCGCCCTCATTCCTCGGGGCGGTACCGCGCCGCAACCCGGGAAATTCGCAGGCCCCAGGCGGCCCGGCTGCAGCTGCGGTGGTGAAGCTGGGCCCTGCGCGCACGTGAGGTGCCCAGCAGAATCCCCGACCGCCCCGCGCCCCCGTTCTCGCCCACGACAGTGGCCGACTGCGGCCGCTGGTTCCCGGACCCGGGAACAAAGCTGGAGATAACGACTTCGGAGTGGGCCCTGGGACCTGCTGCTTCTCTTGGCTCCAGGCCCTCAGCCGTCTCCCTAGCCACAGCCTGCGGGGCCTAGAACTGCAGTCCCGGGCGTCCCCTCCTAAGCAGTGGCCAGGGTTAGCGGGGCGTGTGCGACCCTGGACCCAGAGATCCGCAGCAGCCGCTGCCAAGCATGGCGAGGAGCAGCGCAAGCCTCTCTCCACCGGGGCGGGGGACGGCGGACGTGGGTTAGGAACCGGCCCGGGACGTCCAGGCAGGATCGGCCACCATTCAGGGGCTGTCCCAGGCGCAGCACCAGGTGCTGCCGGTGGAAGCGGCCAGGGGCAGGCTCAGCCCGGCGCAGTGAGCATAGACAGGGACCCAAAGTTTATGCCAAAAACGTGTCTTCTCCAACCTTCTCAAGCCCCTGTCTCATGCTGGTTCCTATTTCTTTCTTATAAGAAATAGGTCCTGTGTGCCTGGGAGCAGAGACTCGGCCCGTTCTCCCCAGACTCAGCTGTAGTCTTCAGGGACCTGGCCAAGGTCTGGTTAAACCTGCCCATCTTTTGTGGAGGAAGGCCAGTTGCTCCCCTGGCCTTCACTGTACACTAGGAGGCAAAGGCAGCCAGACCAATTGCTGGTTTCATCTGGGACTCCGCAGGTGATAAGATTGGCAATGACAGGTGGGTTGGTAGCCGGGCTGGAGTGGCATGGCCAGCTGCTGTGGGCACCGTCTTCCCTGCCTGTCACCACTCCTGGCTGCCCAAGTAGCAAAGCAAAGTCACAGTGACAAGATCCAGAGAGAGGAAGCTCCAGCTGGAGGTGGCGCTGGTGTCAGAGGCCTTCAGAGCAGCAATGTGACAGCTTCTCATGAGGATGGGCTCTGTCCCCAGTTCATGCCCTCCTCTAGCTTGATCCTTGTTGGTGTCTATTTCTTTGCCTTGCCATTATCTCAGCTTCGCTTCCTTCCAGGATTTCAGCTCTAAGTGGCTCTTGGTCCACACCTGTCTCCATCTCTCCTTTCTCTTCCCCACTCCCTAAACTCAGGACATAGTCACTCCTGCTCCTTACACACATACTCTCTTACACACACACACACTCTAACATACACGCACTCTGACACTCTCCCTCCCCACCCCGCCCTGCCCACAAACACACTCCCACTCTGCCTTCCACAGGAAACAAGTTTCTCTCCCAGAACCTTTATTCAGACCTGTGGAATGACCAGGATCTGGGCCCCCAATGGGTCTGTGAGTGTGAGCCTCTGTGTGTGCAAAGATGTGAGCCTGTGTGCATCCACGTGGCTGTGGAATTTCAAAAGCATGTGTGTACACATGTGAGTGTGATGGTGAAGTGTTGAGAGCTGAAAGAGTGTGTGTTTGGGGTCAGTGTGACCTTGATCATGTGGACATACAGGTGAGCTGTGGCAAGGGTGGAGCAATGTGAGGGACTCTGAGTGTGGAAACTGAGCCGGGGACAGATGGACAAATGCATCCTTTGAGTTCTGTGGAGGCTGCCACCCCATACCTTGTTCAACTACTCCCTCTTTGTCATCCTGTGCACCCTCAAATCAGGATGGTAGCGGGAAAGGGGAATGAAGCTGCTGACCTCTGGGAAGGGGCCTGCCCACTCACTGGGCCTGTCAGCTCCTAATCTGTTACATGTTACTGTAAATACTTACAAATCCCAGCTGCTGAGGAGCAAGACATCCTCCACCAGCCAGCTGGGGCCCCTGGCCTGGAAGTTGGTGGGGAGGGAGCTAGAGAGCAAGACACATGGGGGAGGGAAGCAGGGGACCGCATCGGAGAGGCTGGTATCAGGGACTCCTGAGTTCAGCTCGTAGTTTTGCCAAAGGTTAGCCTGGGTGCCCCAATATTTCTTCAGGAACTGCAGAGCCAGAAATACCGTCCACGCCCCTGCCTCAGGAAGCTCCCCAACCTCTGCCTGATGAAGAGAGAGACTCCCCCCTCAACAGCCAGCTTCCTGTCTTCTATTCACATCTTTCAAGTAAATGGGTAAAGAGAGAGGTCTTCTTGCCTTTTTTTGTAGAGGGGGCCATCTCACTATGTTGCCCAGACTGGTCTCTAATTCCTGGCTTCAAGTGCTCCTCCTGTCTCGAGCTCCCAAAGCATAGCAATTACAGGTGTGAGCCAAGACACCCAGCAGCTTCTTACTCTTTAAATGACACACAAAATTCTCCTGGAGTTTCTGGAGGGGATTGTCTCTTTGAACTCAGAATCTTTCCCAGGACACCTTGATCAATCCATCAGGCTCTTACTAGATTGGAGGCTGAAGACACTGCAGCTCGGTGAACCCCTTTGCAAGGGTCCGCTCTGCAGCTCTTGAGGGGAGCAAAAGCATTTTCATCTGGCCTCACCCCCATCTGCAGCCAGCTCTTTCACTTCTGGAGCTGAGCTGATTGTGATAACCTGGAGGAGGGGGAATTAGTTGGGACGACTCACTTGCTGGAGCCCATCAACACTGGCCCAGGCTTGTGGCCAGATGCCTGGTTAACCAGCCCAAGAGAGCTTCCTTTCTCAGGAAGAGAATGATTATTGATTATTGGTCCTCTTTACCCGTTCATTGCTCAGGACAGTGTCAGGTGCACCACAGGCCCCTGGGCATTTGTGTGGCATCATCAGCCTTATGCCTGGATCACCAAGTCAAACTTTCCCATTAGCTCTTGATGGCAAACTCGAATTCCTTGTGTCAGAAGGCACCACAAGGCCCAGATGTCCTGGGCCTCCCACCTTAGGCAAGCCCAACATGACACAGAAAACCCCTGACACCGAGCCAAGATCTATCCCCTTGTCTGGCTTGAATTTCAGATTTATTAATGTTGAGCCCTCCTGGCCCACAGTGGGACTCCCCTTGGCCTTACACAGGTAATGCCTATATCCTGGCCTAGGCTTTTGCAAGAGTCCAGACTCTGGGAAGGACGTGGAGTGGAGGAAAAACCAGGCAGAGGGAACCCCATGATACTGAGGGGCTCTGGGTGCTGTATGGGACACCCTGCTGGAAACTTGCCCCTAATGGGGCCTCAAAGCCAGGCAAGCAGGGGCTCCTTCTCTACCAGAGTTTGGAAGCCAGGACCGCAGCTTCCCATCTTATTCTCAGGATGCAGGTTAGTTGTTTTGGGTCTTCTAGGGGCCTCAAGGTCTTGATGTGCATAGCTTCTGATAACCCTGTGTGCAATAATATGATTTGCAGGGCATTTCTGTTTGTGACAAATGTTTTTAATAATAGTTTTAATGGTTCCTTTGAAAGTAGTGATGTCATAATTGTAACTAATCCACATAAGTACCACAGAGAAAGGTTTGAACTGTGCTGTTGTGTTCAAACGCTGGCTGTCCGGGGCACTGGCTCATTCCAAGACTGTCCTTGTGCAACTCTCGGAACACCTTATTTGAGCATACTTGTTTTGAAAGGCATTTTCTTTTTAGAGTTAGGTGTAGTGCTTAAGGGTTAATTTATTTTCATGTTATACTGGTAATATAGTGTTGTATGCCTAATGAGTGATTGTGGCAAGAAAAGCTATAGCTTTCCATTTAACTTTTTCAAACCACAGACCAGAACTGGTTGCTTGTTACTTTAGG